CTTAAGTTAATGAGGTTTGTGGTATACCTGCCATTTCTAGGGCAAATGGTATCACATCCTATTAGAAACAATCGAAATAGCTATGCATTTAGATAGTAGTATGGTGATGTGAACTATCGTAGTCCTATCTATGCACTATAGTTTTAGTACCGGAAGTACCGGGCTATTCACGATACTTATTAAAGTAATATGCTTGTTGTAATAATCTCTTCCATCCAGTTCTTTGTGTTAACAGTATAAAAACTAATGTTAATTGACGAGTGGGTATTTACCTCCAGTAAAGCAAAAAGACGAAAGAAGTTATACTTAACTTTTTATTATTTACTGTACACGAAACACTGTAGAGATACAAAGACATATTTTCGCCCCCAGAAGTTACAAAAACCTGAATTTATTAATCAACCGAAATTCAAGCATATCACGGTTTGACTATGTTTTTTTTAAGTCCGGTGAAGTGACCTGTGGGTTTACAGCCGAGATAAAAAAACCTGCACCTACTTGTTGGGTTCAGACCTTAAGTCACCCTAAAAGCTTACTTAAGGATACTATATGGTACTAATCTATTGGAATCATTACCTCCCTTTCGAGGTACCGCTGCAATTGCAACTCATAAGGGTTTATAAGTTCACGAACACATAATCGTAGACATTAACTATCACCATTAAGAATAAAATTGTCTTACGGACAGTAATGACTTTCACTATTCCTAGACAGCATTTTCACAAATAAATTGTAGGCTTTAAAATACCTCTGTCTATCTGGTAAGTACCTGATATAGACATACCAGATAAACTCCATTCCACCGGTGATTAGACATTTATGGCTGACGGCACATCGCCGCAGAATGCATATTAGCTATTTACCATCGATCGTTGCCAATAAACCGTGCACGTAATATGTCTTGTAAATAGAAATAAGCTGTGGTATCAGTATCACCTACTTCTGTTTTTAGAGTTCAGTACCTCAAACGGAAATAACGGAACCCTTATAAAAAAAGGGGGACACTTTTTTTTTTTTTTTTTTACACACAAGATCACTTTGTTGTCCGTCTGTCTTTCAAGACTCTATCTCGGGAACGCTTTTAGGTATCGAATTGAAATTAAAATCTTTTGCTCAGGTCTACAGTCCCTTGAAGCTGTGAAAACATCAAACTTCTGAGTTAACGTAAAAAAGCCGTTTATGCTGCCCATTGACCTAGAACTATAATATTTGGCAAGTATCAACGTCATATACCACAAGTACGGGAAAAACTCTAATATAAGTAATTATATGTGTTGGAACTGGGAAAAGCTCGAAAAATATGTACCTCCAAATTTGTAGGGAACTTTTAGTGAGCGAGTCCGACCCGCACTTAGGGGAGGTATTTCTATTTTGTTATATCGATGGACGGCGGTAGTCACTTACCATCACGTTACACATCTTGTCGTTTGCCGCCCTGTACAAAAAAATACTATTATGGTGTCAATATACCTTATTCTGTAACCTGTTGATAAGTTGCTCAAACATACTTTTATCAACTAGTCATAAATATAAATAGTTTTATAGGTAAAACATTTAAATAGCCTGCAAATAGACTATTACAAGGTACACAACTGTAGTAGATAATAAATATTATCTGCTTCAGTATATTTAACTGTTACTATGGAAATAACTAATGCATAAAATAAAGGTGGATTGCACATAAGAAACCCCCGATGGTGGAAACAGGATATAGCAGATTTTTGTACGAATTGGAGTCTTGTGACAGCTCTAGTATCTCTTACTATCATGACTTAAAGAACACTACTTTTTGGTAATTAGTAATAAACATAATAGAGAATTCGTGTATTGTAAACGACACCACTGAACCACACTTTTTCTGCTATCTTTAAGCAACTTCTGGAAACTTCTAGAAAGCCTTTTTGAAAAGTCATGGTCGTGATCTTACGAATGAACAATCATTGATGTCGATAAATGCACAAGTTTTGTGTTAGAACTTCATTACAGTGGTGTAAAAAAATTATGTAAACAACACCCTAGTGGTGTGATTCAGTGGTGTCGTTTACGATACACGTCGAGAATTGACTGCGAATATTTATAGTTTCGAGTTCCGGTTAGCCTTTACCGTTGTTTGTTTGATTGCCTACTAAGTTAAAAATAAATCAGATAAGACTGTCAGACCGAGAGCACCTTACGAATAAATAATCATATTACTTACTAGGCAAAAGTCATAAAGTCGCGGTAAAACGTTTATTATCTTAATAGCAACAGGAAAATGAGTCAAGAAGGTTGTCATGTCTAGGTTAAGAAATAACGGTAAAACCGATGTTATTTACAAGGATTCAGACTTTCTACCAATTCGAGTCACAGTATGTGACCCTGGCCTGCTCGAGCTCTTGCTGATCCACTCTAACCTATCCGTATAAGAAATATCACTTTCCTTTCGTTACTACCAATTTTCCCATCTAACTCCTAAAGTTTCCGATTTACGGTAATGCACTTGCCTCTTCGCGCCGCCACCCCGGCCTGCTTCTGCTAGGGTGACAGATTGATTCACCTGTCACTCTCAGGCCTTCGCTTATGGAGGACGGAGGTCGTTTAGCGACCTCCGGCACCTGAGTCTTAAACTGGAGAGTTTTAAACCTCTCCCGGTACTGCTCCGTCTCCTTCACGAGCATGACTTGCGACGCAATAGGAGACGGCGGGGTTCCAGGCGCAGTCGCTCGGTATCATGGTACCGTGTGAGAGAATTTCTACTACGTGTTTCGTCACGAGGTCACGCTTCTGCCCATCCTTACTAGCCATTCCGCCAGCGTGTAGAGCGCCGTGTGCTCTGGCCATCGCAGTGGTGGAACTCAGGCGTTGGCTTCTTGCGGAATTGGAGATCTCCGAAGCATCATATCCGGATGATCTACTGCGTCAGCCGGTATGAGAGGGTTCCGTGTTGCCTTTCGAGGCCATCCTCCATAACGGATACCGTTTTAACCTTTCGGGGATATAGCGTTATCAACCTATTCGTTAACCTATTATTGCTACTTAAACTCGAAGTCATAAAAGATCTCATGCAGAAGAAAGTAGTAGTAGCAAGTCCTTCATTTTTAGGTGCATGGGCAAACGAACGCTGTAGTTTTTTTACTCAAGTCTTCTACTTTACTTAATGCTCTTCCTAGGTTGTGCATTCAATAGCTATGCATTTCAGAGGAAACTTCCTTCTGTTTGCTAAATATTGTCATTATGGCTAAGCGCCGTACTTGCATCATATTGTCAAACTACACATATTTCTTACTATATGTTGTATCCTTCTGTTGACGCATAATATAATGAAACATGTACTTATAATACTGTGCTATCTGATCTAACTGAACTAGACTACATTTTTCTTGATTCAGTAACTTTTTCTGTACCTACTAGAAACTGGGCCAATAATTATATCTTTTAACTAACTAAATGAAATGTTTTAGCTAATTATTTATTCATACTTTACTGTGGAAATGTAGGAATTGACGTACCGATTTCAACCTGATCACATATTATGAAATACTAATTGCACACCTCGTAACGCAGATATCAAGTTTAATGTCACAGATGATTTCTTCCGCTATCAACACCAATTTATCTTTTCAATTAGGGTTTTTAGATCATAAGATGAAAAACCTAAACAAAACAAACAAATTCTTCGTCTTTTTGCATCGATCTTGTATACATTTTTAAAACTATATAAATGTTATTTATGAAATGTAAAACTCTATGACACATGATTATATGAAAGACGGATAAAAAATTTACATAATTGTAACACCTATTTCTCAGTTAAGCAAATAAACAAATTTAAAATAATTTACAGGTTTATATTGAAATAACATTAAAATCCTTGTAGTGTTGAATTTCACTCAATGCAATTCGACTGGGGTAATATTTTTCAATCGTCTTAGTTTAGACGACTGTATATAACTATCACCTCAATATCGTTACAAAGGTCATTTTAGTCATAAGATACGTCACGCATATACAGTGGCATTTCTCTGCATACCGTGTCGTAATTGCGATATGTAATAAATGTTAAACAAGACTTCGGAATACCAAGGTCAAAGACAGTGGTATTATATTAGACCGTGTGTTAGGTCAAATTTAATAGTTTGTGTTCGATAATGTGAAGGCCTGAGTTTCTCTTCAAGCCTACCTCGGCTATTCCAAGGGCAAATAACACTATTAAAATTTGACATTGCTGTTGTAAACATAGTAAATGTAAAAAAAGAATTCGTAACGACCTTAAATATTCATAGATGTAAATTAAATTGTATATTATGGTAGCGACAGCAGTTTTTTTATGTTAGAGGGGGCAGACGAGGAGACGTTTATTTTGTTTTTCATTTTAGTGATAAGACCACCCATTGTACATCTAACTTTAGTTATAAAGTCAAGATCAGGAGCCAATTTTTCGTAATAAACGTTCGGTTAAAATTGACCTGCGATCAACTCTCGATCTCACAACTATCATAGTAGACAAAATAGTAAAGTATTACTAAGACTAGCAGATCACCGATTCAATTGTCGGTTACATACGATATAATCACATTACAATCACCGTTGGATGTTTAATACTTTACTACGAAATTACCTTTTATGACAGTTGTGAGATCGAAAGTTGGTCGGAGCTCAATTATTGACCGAATTTTTATTACGAAAATTGGCCTTCAGTTCAATTTATTTAATGCACAATAACAACACTTTTTAAAAGAACATTTAAAATGACCACTGACTTCATTGTCCCTAAATCATGATAAATTGTAAAAATAGTATTCTTTATCGCCTTTGTTTATACTCAGAGTTGGAATATTTTAGAGTTAGAATATTGGTTTCATCGTACCTACCTTAAGTAAAAAAAGATTTACTAAAATCAGTTCACACCGACCGTAGGTAACATTTGTGTCTTTGCTCTGCTACTAGCCATTGTTTCGTAGTTTAATCTAATACTGACTTTTCTGTTTCATAGATCTCAATGTTAACTTTGTCTTTCTCAGCAAACTCGTCCAGAGAAGCAGCTATCATCCTTGGCATCAGGGCCTCCACCGCCAGCGGCTATCGTTCCTCGCGCTACCGCCGATGGCCCCAAGCCACCAGACTGGAACGGCCAACCCAAAAGACATGGATCTAGCCGATTCAACATTCACAATCACAACCAGGAGCTGGTGAAACTGCCGCCTATTAAAGGTACGTTTCTTTCCTAACCTCATCTTATGGAATTTTTGATGCCATTGCAAAGATTTAGGTATTAGGAAATGTTAAACTTAAAACCAAAAGCACAATCAGTCACGGCAGGATTGTAGTCCTGATACATATACGAGGGAGCGTTTTTATGTTCGCGGAATGGGGGATAAGGGGTGGAAATAAAAAAACCAATTTATTTTTCCTTTTCAATACATTCACCTGCAAGACTGATACATTTTTCAGATCTTTCAATTAATTTGTTTATACCCTCATAAAAAAATGTTTTCTCTTTGTCTTCAAAAAACGCCGAAACTGCCTCCTTGACTTCATCATCGTTGGTAAATTTTTTACCCCGCAGCTCTTTTTTTCATTTTTGGAAACAGGTAATAATCGCAGGGGGCCAGGTCTGGGCTGTAGGGTGGGTGATTCAAAATATCGAAGCCCACCTTATGCAGGGCAGCCAACGCAACGCGGCTCTTGTGGACGGGCGCGTTGTCGTGCAAAAGCAACACACCTTTTGTCAATTTTCCCCTCTTCTCTCTTAAATGGCTTCTTTGAGTCGCTCTAATATTAAAGCGTAGTATTCTCCGGTTATCTTATCAATATATATTCTTTATCTTTATAATTTATCAATAATGTTCCTTTTGAGTCCCAAAAGACCGTTGCCATGAGTGTCCCAGCTGACTGTGACACCTTAAACTTCTTGGGAGGTGCTGTGCCCTTTTTATGCCACTGCAGGGAGTCTTGTTTCGACTGAGGTTCATAATGATATAATAATAATAATACGTTTTTGCGTCGGCGTGAGCGTTCTCGGCACCCATCTTGCACTGACCTTTGTCATGCCAAAATGATCGTGCAGAATTCTAACAATGGTAGTATCAGATACTCCAACCATTTCAGCGAGTTGTTTCTTCTTTAGTCGAGCATCGTCGAGTACAATTTTTTCGACTTTATGGATAAGTTCTGGCGTGATCACCTCGTCCTCCTGCCCGGCCTCGGGTCGTCTTCAAGGGATTCCCTTCCTTGTTTAAATAAACTGTGCCATTTGTACACCATGGTAAATTACAACTGTATAGAAACAATTACTCATATTTTTCATAAGATTAATACGTGTTCCCTAGCCAAATCAAGAAACTATTCTTCTCCTAAACTACGCCACACTACACTGCACATGCCAATATTTAAACATCAAATAAGGTCAGTCAGTTGACTTTCAATTTGAGACAAACAAATTCCCATGTTCCTTTTGTCCATCCGACTAATGAATCGAGAACTGAAGTTGAGGACAATCGATTTTATTACTTGTTTACTTCAAATGAATTATGGAGCTCCACTGCGTGTGCCAATTGCAACGGGATATATTTAGCATGTTACATCTTTTAAGGGGATGAGGAAACTGTTTAATATTTTCCTCACCGCAGTAGAAGATGTTTACTTTACAATTATCTCGATGATAAGTTATTTCCTGAACATGAAAAATTGACATTAGGTACATATTACGGTCCACCAGGGACTTCCTTTCAAGGGTATACCTGGTTCCCCGGCTATTAGTACCCGGCGACGGCGTGCGGTTTTAGTCGGTTCGAGTCCGACATGCCACCGACAGGTGGTATCCGAGGGGATTTCCGCACGGAAAAAAAAAAAAAAAAAAAAGGTACATATTACAATTGTTGCTTTTAAATTTCCGTACAAGAAAATTAAACTAAAAAACTGCTGTTGATGAAGTTTAAATCAATTACTCAGTTACAAAAACTTTCTAGCATATTGAAAGACGAGACCCAATAGGCTTGTGTCCACTAATAACCCATTGCTTGGTTTATAGTTTCAAATTATAAATGAAGAGACATAGATAAAAAAAACAGTCTATTTCTCATAAAAGTTAAAGATTATTAATATTTTTTTTAAATAAATTCGAATAAAATAGGCATTAAGTCACGTGACAGCGAACACCAATCAGAAAGTGGTAGGTCACGCCACGCAAAATATCATTGTTGTTGTTGTCTCTGTTGTTGACGTTTTCATACAACAGAGCAGGTTACTCTTTATAGTTTTTCGTTTTTAGCTAATTTTCTCACCTTAATAGTTTCAGTTGACACTGGACACGGATGTAAATAGTTTTGTTTCGCAGACAGTGACGTCATTCAAGACGCCATGACACTATTCAGCGTTTTGAAGGGAAATTTAAATTGTTTTGTTTTAAATACAAAACACGTAATATAAATATTACTTTTTCTTTAAAATATAGGTTTTATTTTGATAAAATAGATATTAAAGTATATAATTAATCAAGTTTTCAAATTTAGTCAACTAGACAATTGGGACCTAGGCACTTAATCTAGAGAAAGTATAAGGGAAGTAGCAAGTATATATAAAAATCACATTAAAAAGATAACGGGTATATTTCGTTTATATCCTTTGACATAAAATTATCAAATAATCAATAATATTTTCATATATGCATACTATTTTAATAAAAAATAACCGTATTTGGGATCTGATTGCAAAAAAAATTGCATAGTATTCGGTTACATAGATTTATTTACTAAGCATTTATGACGATGCCATTAATGAAATATTCTTATTCTTCTAAAGTAAAATTATCGTTAGACCTGGACAAGATTGGAATGAAACAATGAAGATACTATAATCTCAAGTTTTAATGTAACTCTCACATCTAGGCTAGTAAGCATCAATTGAGTAATTTCATCTATTTAATATAATTTATTTCAAACGGGACTTAGGTAACGGGATTACGACGTGTGTAATCTCGCCGCGCGCAGTAACTGTCTGTTTTACTTACATTCTATTTCATTCGTTGTATAACTCTCTGGCATTCTGAAGGTCGAGATTTTCTATTACTATTGATCTGAAATTCTGGAAGCTAAAAAGGTCTGTCCTTGAGAAAATATAGTAACAGTCACTGATCTAAAATTAAGTCAGAAATTTTTCAGATAGAAAATGCGTTCTCAAAAATAAAACGTATTTACGTAACGCACTGCCATTTAACTTTAGAGTAGTTTAAATGGTGCTCTTTGTTAACTTAATTACTGGTAGAAAATGAAGGAAAATAAGCTCGCGTAATGCTAATACTAGAGTTGAGTTACTAGTGTTCTTATCAAATCCTCCAGCTAAGCTAAATACTTGCGTTAGGTGTGGATTCAAGTCGTTAGGAATCTGCAACTACTTGATCGTAAGTGTCTGATACGATAATACCCTTTACAGCCTTTTGGAGAGCCCTGTTAAAATTCTAGTCGACAGTGTGACCAGTGTTAATACGCCTCTGTCTATCTCCTTCGATGAAAATAGGCGTGAGTGTATATATGTATGTAACTTTTAAATAAACAAAATTTTCCAACTGCTAACGGATGTAATACAAACCTGCAATAGGACAAAATAAAAATATAATTGCAACAATATTTAAACGTTCAAAGTTCACATATCGATTATAACAAGTACCTACGTGACAGCAAGAACAGCTGAGGGACAGAATTACAAGACTTTTTGTTACGAAGTATTCAATCATGCATATTTATAAATATACTGACAGGGTTTCCCATTTCGAGGTTTTTGTTTGATCTAGCAGTAAAACAGCAAGGAACTGTCATAGTCTTGACAACTTTTGTATTTTCGTCTACGTTTAATAGTATTGTTTATAGTTTAAGATAATTTAGGAGGCATTACATTTTGACAAAAGATTTTGATTTGTATAACCGATTCAGTTTCAAATTGTACCTGAAGTATTGACGTTATTTAGGATTATTAATTAGATCCGAGTTTACTCCCTCAGTTTTTTTATTTTTAGAAATTGATTCGTCTGTTGTCCTCGAATTAAATACATATGTACTTGAAAAGCAGCGTAAAAAACGTTCTATGTATATAGATCTAGCTGTTGCCCGCGGCCTCCCTCGCAGTAATTATTTCTTATTTCTAACTTCGAAAATTGCATACGACCGTTCACCTTACATTACCCCCTTCAGGGTGAAATTGCCAACAATTCTTTCTTAGTGTGTGCTTACAAGATAAAAGCATCAACTGCCAAAATTTCGAGTTTGTATCCCTGCGTTGATAAATCAGTCAATCAGTGTACTAACAGTAACACATTATGTACATCTAACAAGATTACATAGAGAATTTATACAATGTTTATCACTAGGCCAAATAATAAGCCAACGATTCTCATATTTTTTATAAATAAAAATAGATGTTCGAATTAAGTCATTTCTAATTAAGAAGCTATTGAGAGTAAGGATTGCGCAAATAATATTATGATTTGAATTACCTACTGTGCCAATTACCAATTATCAATTGAGTAAATCAATAGGGATTCATTTAGCCAATTAACCTTATTGAGCACAAATACATAAAACTATCCTGTATGTATTGCGTAACTGTAGCGAATAATGATAACCAATATTTTTTGCAATATAATTATCTTGTTTATTTTCCTTTTTCTCTAGTGAGTACCTAATCACGTAAGATACAAGAGCCGCTTTCTTTAGTGCCTTCAACTAGTAAAGCTTTGGTAGGTAACTTTTCCATGATACTATTTTTATTAAGATATTGTGTAAGCATAATATTAATTCTGAACATGGATCTTCAAAGAGGTGGGCTCTGATAACATTCATAATCTCCTTACCGACTTAGAAAGCATTGCGTATGTCTTCGTGCCCTCAGCCTTGGCGCTGAACTGAGGTTATTAAATGTAGGGCTTATGACGTCGATAATATTTCTTTACTGCTTATTACCTACTTGTCACAAGCGGTTCTACCTTAAAGTGGTTGCTTTCATCAATTATATTTTAAAGAGGATACGTTATATTCATACACGTACAAAATATTTGTTCCATTACCGTACAATACATCTATTAATTGGATTTCCGAAAAAAAACATACACTGACCTGTGGTATAATATACCTTTTTTTTTATTTATCTTTTTGACGTAATTTGTGCACTTTCGGAACACACAGAAAGGCATTTTATTAGGACCCTCGCGTTCTGTGTTTGTAGCGTATCTACCTCT